CAGCAACAAACTGGGCTGACTTGGCTTTTTATATTTGTTGTGCAACTACTGAGTGTGTGTGAGTGCGTGTGTGTGCGTGTGCCTGTCTGCTTCTTCTTCATTTTCTGGCAGCAGCAGCAACAACAATGGGAAAGCAGTAGAAATTATGTTGCGTGACGTTTCATTTTGCACAAAGACTGTAATTGGTAGCTGCGCCCCGCGGCCTGTGCCACGCCCCTCGCTTGACCAAAAAGTCGGCTAAGCATATTGGCCTAAAACTGCCTGGCTGCTATTGTGCTGCTAAGCTAATGACCAACAACAACAGCACATACAAAGACAAAGACAAAAAACAAAACAGGCCAGGCACGAGCCGCGGCGCATTGCAGGCCATTTGCCAATTTGCAAACTGGCCAACGGCTCGACGCGGCTGGCCAAGTTGGCCAACGACAATTTGGCTTTTGATTAGTTCAGTTTTTTGTATATATTTCTATTTATGTTCAATTTGATTGTTTCGTTTCGTTTCGTTTGCCCAATTTGGCAGACGAGTGAAATGCACGACGAGGTCAGCCAGCGATGCAATTGTGGCCAAGCGGAGTTCGATTCGCGGCCAGTTTCCAGGCAAGACGCGCTGCGAAGGCCGCCAGCAGGAAGTTTGCATAATAGGCCAAGCACACACACACACACACATACACACACACGCGCGACATACGTTGGGCTTGCCCGAGCAAACATTTGCATTTCCTCTTTAGGCCCGCGCACATTTGTTTGCCGCAACGCTGACGAAAGTCTTGGCCAAACGGCGGCAACAGAAATGAGAGCGGCTGCGTTTCATTGCCAGGATTTGTACACACACATGCCGTGCGGCCCAGAACCAGCCAAGCAGCCAGCCATGGCTAAAACGTTTGTCCTTCAACCAAAGCCGCCAGCTGCCAAAGCGTGCTACCAAAACAAAACGGCTTTCGGCTGACGGCTTTGGGCTTTTCGCCGACCGGGCTGATCGGGCGGTTGGCTGGCTGGCTGGCTGGTTGGAGGGGGGCCTGCGGTGGTTGTTTATGCTGGCCAATCGATTTCCACAATCAACCAAAGCAACGAAGCGTAGTTGCCACCAAATGCGCCAACATGCGGCAACAACAATGCCAGCTAGTCAGTTAGTCAGAACGTAGTCCGGCGCGACAAAACAAACTCAAAACATGCACGACTCTCCAAATACCCGAACCTACGCTCAAAACTTGTTTTTCTTAGACAATTTCCATTAAAAATGGTTATAAAAGTATATTGTATTTGTGCGAAAGCCAAATGTATGTAACAGGCAGAAGAAAGCATCTCCGACCCCATAAAGTATATATATTCTTGATCAGCATCAATAGCCGAGTCGATCTAGCCATAGCCGTCTGTCTGTCTGTCCGTCCGTCCGTATGTATGAACGCAAGGATCTCAGAACCTATAAGAGCTGTTTCCGATAATCGATAACTTACTCCGTTTCCAAGCAATCGATAAAAATCGATATCGATATCCTGTTTTTGGGCAATTTTGGGAAATAATAAGAGCTAGAGCTAAAATAGAATATATATATGCATTTGATGTTGGAAGAAGAGGGTTCAGGGTATCCCCTAGTCGGGAGCTCCCGACTAGAACCTCTTACTTGTTTAAGAAACTGACAAAAAGGAAAAAATCAAAGAGAAGTACAAATATATTTCATTTCTTTATCAAAACTTGAAAACGCCAAAAAATCACCTCAAATCATTTTTTTTCCAATTAACTTTTTACAATTTCAATTCTCATAAAAAAAGCTTTTTCTCATATTTAGCCAGTTCTTCACTTTTGATTCTAAGTTTACAAATTTTATAAAAAAAAGGAACCAAAGGAAAGTCTTCGAAGTGAGCTATTTTTACATTTACGATTATGCTTTTAACTCAATTTACTTTTCAGCTGCTTCAATTTTGAATAAAATGTTGACGTCTTTATTTCGTCAATGCAACTGTGTAAGCGGCAAGCTAATAAGGTCTATTGGAAGTGGAGTGCGGGTATTTGAAGTTGGACTCAAATGGATAAAGCGGCCACAATGATTGGCCATTGATCTTGGCCATTAGAGGCTCGGTCTTGGCGTGATCAAATGCAAAATGAAAAATCCGAAAACCAAATAAAATGAGCATTAAAAACATGCTAGAATGTCGCTAGACGGGCCTGCTCGACTAGCAGCTACCCTGCACCCAGTCGAGCTTACTCTTGTGCGGTAAATGGGGCAAGGCACACACATAAAATGAAATGTCCGAGATTTGAGAAGCCACAAACCAAGTTTGGCGTAAGCAGCTCTGATAGTTCTCGAGTTATGCTCAAATAAACCCAGTCTCAAAATCGATATTTATCGAATCTAAGAAAATTATGAAGAATTTATCGATAAAACAAACTTGTTATCGCCGATAATATATATTCCTTGTGAGATACCTTAAGAGACCTCACCTTCTTATGAGATCGTAGTTTCTTGCTGCTGCCTGTTACATGCTTGGCCCAGAAACCAGCATACCCTCTCTATACACTCTCAGTGTTAAGTCAGAATAAAAGCCAGTTAAAGTGAATGAATGAATGTGGCTGCGAGCATGAATAGCTGCATAGCTGCGGTTAGCTGGGGACATTGCCTAAAAATGAATCTTATTGTAGAATCAATGTTAAAGAGACAAACTTTGCATCATATAATATTTTGTATAATTTTTATTACCCATTTTTTTAGTCACGCCGCAGTGAAACTTTGAAAGCAACTAACCGAACGGAAAAGAAACAAAAGTGTTGCCGTTGTTGTTTTCTTTCTTTCGTTTCTTTCGCTTCGTCTCGACGGCTTGCTTCTTCTTCTTCTCTTTTTGTGTTAATTGATTGCATAACCGGCAGAAAGAGTGGCAACTCACTTGGACAACACTCTCACACTCACAGTGTTGGTCATTCACTCAGTCAGTTGGTCAGTTGGTCACTTAGTCTGCGTGTGCCTGTGTCTGTGTGTGTGTGTTTGTGTGTGTGGGGGGCGGTTAAAAAAAGGGGGCGTGCTGCACAGTCGCTGGCGCAACCAAGCCAATAAGTTGGAAAAAGCAACCAAAAGCCAGAAACTAGTCGCACAACATTTATTCATAATTTTCATGTTGTATTTGTTGTTGCAGCTGCTGCAACAGTTGCATGTGCAGCTGATTGCAAGCAGTGCACACGGCAAGCAGTGCTACTTTTACCAGGTGCCTGGTAAAGTTCATGTTAGCGATTAAACAGGCTCTTGTTAGCGTTTATTATGCGCCGGCTACATTTTCTTCTTTTCTTGTTGTTGCCAAAGGCTAAAAGCAAAAGTAAGCTATTCTTGAATTGCATCTGCTTGCACAAAAGCTAGCTTTATTTGCATGTCAAATTTGATGTCAGCTGACAAGCACGCAAAATGCATTTGACATCTAGGCTCCAGTCAGCGCAAGATGGGAACGCCTGCTCGAATTTGCCAGCTACACTTCGCTGCCGGTCAATGTTCATGTTAGCTAACAAGCAGTTGATATCCATTTGGCTTAGCCAATCTGACCTTCAGTTGATCGGTTAAAGCCATATTGAATATGTTTTATTGTTTGTGTGCCTCAGCGCTGCCAGATGTTGTTCGAGTCAGGTGGCAACACTGGCGTGAACATCTTATCAGGTACAGTCAACAGTTAGATGAACTGCCCACTCAACTTTGACAAGACAGAACATGAGCGTAACGAAATCAAGTTAGACAGCTTGTTTAAGTGTTGGTTAACTTTTTGGACAGGAGTGAACGGTGGGCCTTAATACAATATTTACAGTATTGCATTATGCGGCAATATCCAATTACCGTACCGATAGGGGCCATTGTTCAAGCTGACATGGGGTGCTGACATAATGACCAAACAATTTGCCAAAAACCGAACCGAACCGAAAACTGAACGAACTACAAATCAAAATCCAAAAGCACAATTGAGTTGTTTCAAGTTGTTGCCGTTGTTGTTGTTGTTGTTGTTGCTGCTGCTGCTGCAGTTGCAAGTTGTTGTGGTCGGGCAAGAACTAATTGCGACCTTGGCGTCGACAGCCCGCGGTGCATGCATATTCGAACTATGTAGATCGGAGACTCGAAATGTTGAGAATGCGCCACGGCAAACGGCACGTTCACATGCAGCGCTCAGTTCTCCAAAACCAAAGCAACAACAAACAAACACGAAACAACTGAATATATGAATATATGAAAAGCTATCGATGCATTTCATATGCATACAACTTAATCGAAAATGATTTGGCACTTTGCTTGATCGCTCAGTTAATGGATAATGTTCGCCAGTTTTATGGATTGCCCAATAAATGCTCAACAAATTGTATTTATGCGCCATATAGGGCGTTAAGATATGATTAAACAAGTTAGAGCGCGCTCCAGTCGAGCCGGCCCGACTGGTAGATGCCCTCAACTTGGGCTCTTGAGAGTAGTTGGGACACAAACTCAGACTGCGCATATATCATAGGAAGGCACAGACCAGCTTTGGGTAGCTCTGATAATTCTCGAGCTGTGCTTGACAATTCGATTCTTATCGATATTATGAAAGTGGACAGAGTTATGGAAAAGCAAAGATAATCTGAATCTAATCGAGTCCTTAGCTTCTTTTAGTTGCCGTAACCCAACTTATCGACTGTTCCCAATTTTTATCGTAACTAACCCAACTTATCGACAGTACTTAATTTTTCCTTTATCGAACCCAACTTATCGACTGTTCCCAATTCCTCAAGTAAATAAACCAACTTAACGATTGTTCATAATCTCCAACGTAAGCTAATCCCACTCATTCCCATTTTCCAATGTATAATTTTCAACTCATTATCGACTGTTCCCAGTTATAATCGCACCCAAAACCCAACTTAACTACTGTTCCCATTTTCCGTTGTATCAAACTGTAGAATTCAATTCAGCGACTGTTGCCAAATTCTATCGTATCTCACCCAACTTATCGACTGTTCCCAGTTATAATTGTACCCAAAACCTTATCTACTGTGCTACTCACTTTTTACAGCCCACATTTTGGAATCGGTCAGGCCGTGCAGATAGCTGCGCATGTCCTTCGTGCAGTTGATGCTCAGCATTCGTGTGGCTTCGAGGCGTGGCCACTGCGACGCAAGCAGCGACAGATCGAATACGTTGAGCGCATCGCGCAGTCGCTGCGTGCGCGTCAAATCAAAGCTGATGTCGGCGTCGCTGCCGCTGCTGCTGTCGCTGCTTCTGTTGTTGTTGTTGTTGTTTTCCGTATGCAGGCTCAAATTGATGACATTGTGCTGATCGGCGCTGATGATGGGCGAGGACTTGTTGTCCTTGTTGTCCCTGTTGTCGATGGCCGGCTGCGCGACAGTCGCTGCCAACGCCAGCAGCAGCAGCAGCATCACCAGCTGCGGCCGCAGCGCGCGTTGTAAGCGCATGATTTAAATAAGGCGAAAAACAACAAAAAAAATAAAATAAAATATCCCACAAATTGATGGGGCACGTTCGGCGCGTCGCTTGCCCTGCTTCACTTTCACTCAAAATACACAAAAAAAAATAACGAAAAAAAAAAAAATTACAAAAATCTATATGAAAAGTTCCAAAATGTGTGTCGTTTGCTTTTCGTTATATTTTTTGTTGTTTTGTTTTTCCTTTTTTAATAATTTTTATAAAATTTCTTTGTGAACACTTTGCTTAAATCATTTTCACAGCGAGCCAAGGCGAAAAAGAAGACATTTAATTATCACACACAAAAAACTCTTCGTTTCTTTTCCTTCTCTTCCTCTCTTTCGGGGCGCCAGTTGTGTAATAAGCGCTGCTCGAGCGCTGCTTAGCTTTTTTAACCGTTAGAATATCTTAGTTTGTTTTCCTTGTCGTATATTTCGTATTTCTTTTTGCTTGTTTTTTTTTCTTTTCTTTTCTTTTTTCGTCACTTTTACTTTCGTTGCGCGCTCGCGTGGCCAGTGAGCGAGAGGGGGGGTGGGGGGTAGCCGGGTGCTGTAGGTTTGGCGGGGCACGATGGCCGTGTGTGTGTGTGCGTAGTTAGCTGGGAGCTGCGACAAGCGACGACCGCTTGGCAT